TCCTCTTTTTCAAAATAAAGAAGCCAAGTACTAGAGAGGTTAAGTAATTTGTCTAAAGTCATACAGCTAGTAAGTGACAGTGCTGGTTGGTTCTAGGACCCCTGACTCCCCAGCTAGTGCTCTTTCCACTATACCAAAATTTCTCCATAGCACACTTGAAACCCAAGCTCGTTTCCTTTTCTGCAGTAAAATTACTGGAGAATCACTATAGGACTCTTCAGAAATTCTTGAGTATTTCTTAGCATGTAGAGAGGAGAAGGGGATTAATTAATTGGAATTATAAGAGAAGACCCCTTACCTGTCATAGTTGAGACCAGTAATTGTTAATCAAAAAAGTTAATTTGGCCTGGCACCAGGGCAAACATGTGTAATCCTAACACTCTGGAAGATGGAGGCAGAAGGGTCGCTTGAGCTCAGGAGTTCAAGACCAGCCTGAGCAAGAGTGAGACTCCATCTCTACCAAAAATAGAAAAATTAGCTGGGTATCATAGTGTGCACTGGTAGTCCCAGCTACTCGGGAGGCTGAGGCAAAGGGATTGCTTGAGCCCAGGAGTTTGAGGCTGCACCGAGCTACAGTGACACCACTGCACTCCAGCTGAGGTGACGGAGCAAAATTCCGTCCCCCCAACCAAAAAAAGTTAATTAAAGCTGGAAATTACAAAAAGTTACACATATATACCTTAAACATTTTATTTTAACTTAAAATGTATAAATGTATTCATTCATTTTTCATTCGACGTAGAGACAAGGTCTCGTCTTTGAAGTGGGTCTTCAGATTAGAGATGGTTATAGACTTTCTGGCGCTTTCATTCTGCATCGTCTATCTACAGTTTATACTTACAGTTTTCCTTTAAGGAGAGATTCTAAAGATATTCACAAGGCAGTTTGAGTGCAGAATCCTTCCAGATTTTTGTAATTTTTTTTTCCTGCCATTAGAGTTGTCTGTCCCTAATTTGAAAGCAGTTTTTTATGTCTCGACTTAATGTTCCTTGAAACAATTTTATTTTTATATTCATATTTCACTGGTTTTGTAACATTTGTATAAATTACGTTACTATAATCACATAACAACTGCCAGAAACGGGTTGGGAAGAAACAAAACTAGCTTATAATAAAACTCAGTTGCTGGGGCAAGAACCAGCCCTGTGTGTATGCAGCAGACCCTGGGCGTGTTTGACGGGGGTGAAAGAGAGCGCTCTTTAATTCTGCGAGGCATTTCAGACGGCTTGTACTGCAGACTGATTATTAACATCATCTGTAAGCCAGGGGTTTGGTAGCATTATTGTTTTATCATAATAGTGTCAAGTCTTATGCAACAGTTGGGTAAAGCATAATTCTTAATTCAGTTACTAATAACCTTAAAGAAGAATCAGATTTCCAGAAATTTCTATAGGATGGTATATGCTTTGACCTTAAGAATATAATTATCAGGTTATTTATGTTCATGTATCAGGTGAAGAAAGTTGAGATTTTGTTTGTTTTTAGTGAGCTCTAATAATATAAGAACATTTGACCATAGTTTGAACATAGTAAAATATTTTAACATTTTCCAAAGTTATAAAGACTTAAATTTTCTGAGTATTTTAATGAGCTGCAAGGAAGGAACTAAAGTTAATAGGATGGGTCTAATATTATCATGAAATTAAACTTAGATAGTTTCAGACAAACTTAGCTATTTTCTTTTAATAAATAAATGGAAATATCAGAATTTCATTCCTAACATTTTGTGGTCAGGACAGTAGTTATTATGAAAGACCACTTTAGAAGTCTTAAACATAACTAATAATGAAACAGACTTTAATAGATTTCAATTTATCAATCTGAGAGTGTTTTGCTCTAGAATTTGAATGTAGTTACATACTTAACATTTCAAAAGCTACACTCTAGGAGATATAGTGCCTTATAGGGAAACAGCTCACAGGTTCAAATTTCCTGTTTGCATTAGTTTGTGATGTTTGCAATTATGATATTCTCAAGTAACATTTTGGAAATGATGACTTTATCATGAAAGTTTAAATAATTTTTAAGTAAAATAGATAATATGTATATTTTGATCCTTTGACTATTAGAATATTAATATTAAACTTTTGAGAATGAGAAAAGGAATTCACATAGAAATAAAAGCTACATGTCATTCTCTAGTCTTATTTTAACTCATCCCTGTAAATAGGTTCTTGATTTTCTCTTCCTTTTTCTATCCATTCCTCAAGTTGAATGATTTATGAGAAAGGGAAGGTATAAGAGTTCAGCAGCATGGTGGGGGCAGCGGAGAGGGTGGGGGTATCTAAGAATGTCTAGGAAATTAATTTAGAGGTATCAAGCAGCAGTTGGTTGTATATTGTTTTTTTAATACTTTGTTTCATTTATAGACTCTGTATTTATCTGAAATGTAAAGATCTCCCTTTCCATTCCACAGTGAGATTTAAAATCCATACCTTAGGTTATCTTTGATTTTAACTTTGGTATGATTTATGAAATAAAGTTATTTTCTAAAAATTTCTTAACATCAGCATTTGATGAATATGTTTAAAAAAGAAAACTTTGAAAATCTTAGTATTTAAAATTATCAATGTTTAGAAACTTATAGTTTGAATTAGTTTATCTTAAAAATGAACGCCATGCTTGATTCTCTTTATTTTAGAATCCAGCAAGCTAAAGTGCAAATTCTTCCTGAATGTGTGTTGCCTTCAACCATGTCTGCAGTTCAGTTAGAATCCCTCAATAAATGCCAGATATTTCCTTCAAAACCTGTCTCATGGGAAGACCAGTGTTCCTATAAATGGTGGCAGAAATACCAGAAGGTGAGAAACTAATTTTTTATGTATCTTCAAAAAATGAAGACAGGTTGCTTTTTTCCTGTTTTAAGAAAGAAACACAAACAGCGCTCTTGATTCATTCCCCAGACACCCTCTGTGGCAATATTCTAGCTGCATTTGATCATAGCTGGAGCTTCTAAAAATTTCACAGGCAGCTATTTATGTAAAAGCAGTTTGCAAAAGTAGTAAAATGTCACACAGCTATTCTTGCTATTACACTTATCAGTTATGTATTAATAGCTTATGATTCTTAATTCCACAGGAATCTCTTATTAAAATATCAAATCAGATGCTTGGCTCTTGAGTCAAAGACATACATTACCTTAAAGAAAAGAGAGGATTCCTTTGGGGTAGCACAGAGTAGTAGTAGAGAAGTAGAGTATGTTTTCCTTCTACCAGACTTCAGAGAGAAAAGCTTGGCTATTATTTTGTACTTCTCTATTGACATCACAAAAAATTACTTGAGACTAGGTGCTCTTTACAGGTATTGCTTATTTGGACGTTAATTTTTCTGTATATCCTTTTGGCTAAATCATTCTTTGTCTCAGGGAATAAAAAAGTTGATGAAGCCTGTTTCTACTTGTTTGTGAGATGTACAGTTTTAAGTACAAAGTGTTTAATATTTATGATTTCTGCCTAAAGAAAAAGAGTACTAGTTTCTAAATTTAGAATAAATGGCTTTTTCAGGTTTATCTTTTAAAACTATGGAAAGACAATTTCCATTTTAACCTTAAAAATCCTGTATTACTTATCCCTTACTCTTTATCAAGTAGTGAGAGTTTTAAATTTGGGTGTAAATCAGTATAGGATACTAATTAATCTGTATTAATTTAGTATAAATTAGTATAGATTATTCATGAAGGGGTCTCGTACACTAGTCAGCTTACCACCA